ATGTTTTTGAACAACTCAATCAGGTATGATAGAGCTTCACGAGTACTACAAAACGGTATTATTTGGAATACTGTATCTTGTTGTGAACAGAGTTACAGAGCAAAAGGAGCAACAAAAAGCAGGCCCACCCCGGGCCTGCCGGAAAAGCCACTTTATGATCTGTAACTTTGTTCATAGATAAGATACAGTATTCCAAATAATGCTGTTTTGTAGTACTCGTGGAGCTCTATCATACCTGATTTAGTTGGTTCGAAAATATAGATTCTGAAAGAAATTATGGCAGGGCCCGCGAAGGCCCGGCAAAGGCCCGGATTACAAGTATGGTTGGCTACTATTATAGCAATTACGATAGACCTCATTTTACGAGCCAGCGCTACAGAATCCGTCTCAAAATGTTTGGATTATTTTTCTATTTCATATTCTATTAGCGATTGCATTAACAAAAATTAACTTTTCTTTTTTATGCTTTTATTTTCAAGAATGGAAAAATTCCTAGAACCTTTTTAGAGGATGCTGTAAAACTATGAAATGTTTTGAACATCTTTTATTTCTGAAGCCGGAAATTGAAGAGCACTATTTTGTACCTGAACTTCAACCATTGAATATTTTGATTCTCATTTCCGTACTCTCATTTGAAATTCACTTTTTTAACAGGAAATTATCAGTTTCCTGTGAAAATTTCCTGTAGCTTTTCGGATTCAAAAGTAGATTGACTTCTAGCCATTCACCTACTTTGACCTTCCGAACCATGTGGAAAACCACTCAACTTTTTCCTCTTCCTTATTTTTCCTCCTCATTACTTTTTTCTGACATACCTCATTAGCCACGACAGCGCATTTGGTGGAGTTGAACAATGGGATGTTGAGTGACATTGAATTAGATCCGTTACCTTTCCACCTGGAAGAGAAAAAAAAGCGAAAAATGCATTTTCTCGACTCATTGTGTTAGCCCACAACCAAAGAGTCAATTTGTTCATGCACGACTTACCTGCATTGTTCATATTTTCTTGGGTTTTCTGTTAAAACTCCTCCAGAGAAAGGACTCGAGAATTTGAGTGCAACTTCGATGTTCGATGAAGTGCATGTCACTTTTTTCTCTGAAACAGTGGAAGAATTATTGAAAAGAACTTCATCTGAGCAACTGACCAGTGATCAAGGCTTCTCCTCTTATAGGGTCGATGAGCTGCAAATAAGAAATACGTTTTTCATTAAGCAACATTTTTCATAAAACTCATTTTTCATTTTTACCCCTAGGTTATAGACTTCCTTCCTAAGTATACAAAAAGATGAAATAATAATAAAGAAGATCTCATCTTTCTAATCTAAAATTTTTCCCCTTTCATGTATGCAGTTTTATTCATCAATTCATCAATTGTTCTTTGCCATTTTTATCCATATTATACATAAATTCTCTCTTATAATCTATCTTTTTCTCTAATCCCTCTCTCTTTATTTTCCTATTTCTTTCTCAGTTTAATTCTTTTTGTTCCAAACTGCCAACACTTTATTTTTCTCTCATCTATTAATTTTGTGTTGCCAGACTCTCATCACTTATTCTGTTTGTTTTCTTGTTTTGTTTTCAAGTTTTTTTTCAAATTAGTACTACAGCTAACACTCTTCAAAACACTTCAAGCTAGGGTGTTGGTCCACTTCGGACATTAATTTTTTATTATTCTAGTTAATTAAGAACAAAACGGAATTTCTCGCAGTTTCAAAAAGTTCTCAAGGTACAGTACTGGCCAGTGCATGAACAAAAAATTATTTGTCAGTCGATTTTGATAATTTTGACCATTTTTAAAAGTCTGGAGTTCGGCTGTCAAGTTGCCGATCACATTGAAAATTTTGAAGGGTGTAAAACAGACATAAATTGAAATCTTTGTGATTTTTGGGTTATGTGAAGCTAGAAACCTTGCTTTTGAGGCTATTTTTAACAAAAAAGTGAACAATTAAAAAGATTTAAGCTAGAACTCACAAATTTCCGTTTAATTTTCAGTCATTCTTACTGAGAAATATAATTTTGAAACTGTTTCAAGTAAAAAATTGAATTTTTTTTCGTAAGTTTCTAGTTTCTCTTCTATTTCAGCCAAATTTTGAAATCTGCCACTAACTAAAAAATAAGAATTATCGAACAATTCTGTGAAAGCAAAGTTTTTAACAGTCAAGCTCCAAACTCTTGAGATTGGTCGAGATTGCCCAAAATTAATTGAAAAATACGTTTTTATATATATTGGTGACCCGTACCGTACTTCAATATTATCACTTCTTGAAGTTTGTCATCTTCGAATTTTAAATTTCTGAAAAAATTCGAATCCACTCACCCATACTAAAATCCAAAAGAACAACATGTTTCTGAGTTTTCCTCTATTCTTCTATTGCTACTTTAAGTGCAGAGTGTGGTCTAAAAAATTCCAAAAAAAGTTACAAATTAAAAAAAGGAACGCGTTCAACAAGGAAGCCAAGACCACGAAAGGTAACAGAAAAGAAATGCAAAATGGCGACGAGGCGATTGAGACGCAAGAGGAAGTTTAATTACAGTAATATAGGTTAGGCGAGCCACCTATTCTCACCCGTCGCCGAGAATAAAAAGAGAAAAGAAGGACATAGAAGAGTGGAGAAGACACAACCCTTAGTACTGTCGCGTTTCTTTTTCCCTTCCGAGAGCGTTTAACGACGACAGACGGTAAGCAGAAACGGCTTAGAAACGTTGACGGTGTTTAGAAAATGAGAGGGAGAGGGCGGATGAAGAGGATGGGGTTGACCTTCGACACGAGTCAAGATTTTGACATTTTCTCTTACATTCCTCAATCCGGAATAATCCGGCTTAATCGAGATGACGACAGTCGTTTTGTAGATAGGCTCTCTTGGAGGTCGCAACACGGGGTGATTAAGGTCAGAACATGAGAAGATTTGTGGACCGAATCCTTCACAAATAGGCTGATCACTTCTTGATGTCATGGACATGGAGATTTGTTTGAGGGAACGATTGGAAACACGTAGAACGTTTTGTAAACATTCTAGGGATTCGGGATTTGGATATGCACTTAGAAATTTAGGATTACATGATCATATCTAAACCCGAACATCGTGAGGCTTCCGTAGAATTTGCAGTTGTTCTAAGTTTTTGTACTGCTTGATATCAATGTTTTCTATGAGAAATTTCAATTTCTAATATCATTTTGATAGAATTCAGCCTGGCTATTCTTATTATCATAATTCCTCTAATAGAAGCCTGCCCCTACCGTCTACTTTAAGCTCAAATATCTCGATTCCTGTGAGAGATGTCAAAAAGTGGTCAATTGATAAATTGTTTATCAATCTTTAGTCTGTTGCCTACTTCTTGAAATCTTTTACAGGACAGAAAATAAATGCGCTCAAAGTTGATCATTTTGAGTAGTTAGAGCTGAAGTCTATGCGTGCCTTTTGACCTCAATTATCTTGCTTTCTATGAGAGATATCAAAAATTTGTCAACTAAAAACTTATTTATAATAAAATTCTTAATATTTTATCAGTTGAAAAAATTTTGATACCTTCCACAGAAATCGAGATACTTGAGCTCTAAATCTCTAAAAACCAAATCGAAAACTACCGTAACCTAACTTCTTTTACTTCCCATCATTGACAAAGCAGGTGAAGTTGAAGAAAGCTAAATTAACTTTCCGCCTCTCACATCATATTGATTTTATTCTTTCCTAACGGATCTGGATTTCCAAACCGAAATCAAAAACCTGGATTAGTTCGTGTGCACTATTACAACATTTCGCTTCAATGCGGATTATGACTGTGGGGATTCACATCCGGGCCAATTCCGAATTCGAATTGCTCATTTCAATTCAAAAACCCTCATCCGTTTTTGTCACGCCAATATTTCATTTATGTACACACACACATGGAAAATACATGCACATACACAATACATATATACTTGTGGCGATGGCGGCAACCACTTTGCCTTCACGTTTCCGGCAAAAATGGCATAGATTTCTGAAACTGGAGATGAAGCCAATGGGACAGCAAAAATAATAGCGAAAAAGCATTCTCTTTTTTTCTGCTTCTGAGTTTTGATATTTTGAGCTTTTAGCTTATTTGAGAACGGTTTCTAAAGTAGGGGTCACGAGTCCTTTATTGGAAACAAAGTGAGTAATTTATCAGAATAATTTCAGTAAATTAGAACTGCTGTTTCTTGTATTCACTACACCGTAAAACTTATATTCGAAGGCCCCCTACACTACCAAGTTCTTGACAAAATTCATATATTTCACAGTAACTGAGATTAATTAGCCCAAACTGAAAGCGTGGGGGTCTTTTTGTTAGAGGTTTTAAGTTAACTACGGTACGATCAAACTGAACTGAAGTTACAATAAAACGTTCAGATTATGAGAAAAGAAACGATAGAGCATTTAAGATTGAATGCAAGTTTCATGGTAAGAGTGGAATACGGTAGCTCAATTGATCATTATGACATGTCATTATGACATCAATACCCGTTGAGAGCGGCGGTATTTTTAATTCTTTAAAAGGTATCAAAGCCAACTACCGTATTTTCAAGTATAATTTGATTTTTTTTTCAATTTTCCAACAATTTTTTTATTAAGTTTCCTTCTTTAATTTTTTTTTCCCCATATTTACCGTATTTCCTTCAATAGAAGCTCCCCAAAACTATCGAATTTGAGCTCAATTATTTAGATTCCTGTGAAAGATATCAAAAATTTGTCAACCAATAAAATATTCATAATAATATCACCAATATTCTAACCGAGCTCAAAGTTGTTGGTTTTGGTGGGCTTCTATTATAGAAAATACGGTATATCTAAACAACTACAAACTTCTCAAAAAATCAAAGAAAAAATAGAAAATATTCTAAATTGGCTCAAGGCTACGGTAATTCGCTCTTACGACTTGAAAAAATTTCAACCCAAAGATTTGGGGAATTCCCAAATTTTGTTTGTCTAGTATCATGGAAACCCATCAAAAATCAAGTTAGCTAATCTCTTAAATGTTCTAGATTTTTTTGAAAACAGAAGTTACAGTAATTTTCGAAATCTCTACCTTCTAGGCACCTTGTTTTCTTTTCTAATTGACCTAGCTATCAAGGACCAGGTACTAACAAAGCAAATATGCCATTCATCAGTTGTCCTCTTCTTCTCCCCCATCTTCTCACGTCTTGACCTGTACCTGGGTTGGATTACGCAACAATTCAGAGGGACACCTGTTACGCTCTTTTCACAACACACGGACCACCTATGCATAACCGTTCCATATCTAATGCCTCCCGTCTCTCCTTCTTTCCGCTCTGTCTTTCTTTTTCTTCTACTCCCGAGACATTCCTATTGTCGCTTCCTTGCATTCTTACTGTCAATCCACACCGTTCATTTCTTTTTCTTCGTCTCATACAGACGCTCTCGCACACTTTGCGCTCTCAAACAGTTTTTGTTTGTTTGCACGCGCGATTCTTTTCTGCCACTCTATCGTCTCATCAAAACGCTCTTCGTTTTTCACAGTCTTACCATGTTGCACAGTTTTTTAAAATTATGACACACAAGAAGAATTTAAGAGAACGTTGAATGACAAACGGAAAAAAACATTTTTTTTTATTTTTATTGATTCTTTTTTCTGTATGCCTGACAGTTTTTCCTACCATCAGCTATTACCAGTCTAGGAATCTCAAGAAAAATTATATCTAATTAGCCTTTTTGTGTTTTCCATTCGACAGGAGCCATTATTTGCTCTATGAGAAATTCTGATACGATAGTTGTGAAGAAATAGAAGTTTAATAAAACGAGTATTCTTTCAAAATTCAACAAAAAAACGAAAATGAAGCGTAGCACGAGAAAAAAGTAATCCTTTCGATGAGAATGTAACGAGTCTAATACATAACCACCGGAAAAGAAAATGGTGGGGATTGTCATTCTTATTTTTCCTTTTCTCGTCGTCATCCCTTAAATTGAGTAATGTACATAACCTGTCTCATAATTGTCCCTTACGCAACCTTCACGATTTCGATTTGGCATGTAGAAGCCGCTAAAAACTTTCAATTCACTTTTCGGACGATTTCGACTTCATCCGAAGGTTACTACATGCTTTTTGTGAGAAATTGAACTGAGATTGGAGAAGGGAAAATGAAAGTGAAAGAAGTACAGAGCTACAGTAAGACTTCTACGCATTATAAAAGTCTTAGAAATATTAATCTGGATTTTACAATTGTCTGATCTACGAAAACGTCATCTTCATACTGTATTTTTTGTTTATCTTATTTGACTACACATACAACAATCATTTCAGGAAAGAGCCCACTCCAAATATATTCAATTATCAATCATATAATCCGGTGAATAAAATGTTGAAGAGTCAAACTGCTGCTCGGCCAATCAGTTATAGTCAAGAATCCGCGTCTACTAATCTTCTTGGTATCATTGATGTGAAAACCAAAGCAGTTCAAAATTTAAGAGGTAACTAGTGATATCAGAAATTGAGCGAATTTTTTTTGTTTCAGATGCTTTGAAACTAACGACCATCAACCGACTTCTAACCACAAGCTACGATGAGGACGCTAAAAATATAGAAGTTGGTGAAAACCCCGGGAAAAATAACTTATTTCCAAAATATTCGGTGGAAGATAGCCAACTTTGATAGCCTAGAAAAATAGTCCAACATTTTTCAAAATGTCTTAGTCCGTTCAAGAGTATACTAAACAAAAAATTGAAGCCTAATTTTTGCAATTAACAAAAAAATGCAATAATTAATAAAAAAATGCAATAATTCGAAAAATGCAATAATTAAGTTGTTTTTATGCGGCTTGTGTTTCATTTCACTGCTATATTTAGCATTTTTGAAACATTTTGGTTACGAACGGTTAATCTCACCAGGTGGAGAATGGCAAAAAAATAGTCAACTGAAATATTTCTATGTTTTTGTATAATTTGAGTTTTTAGAGCGATAAAATAGTTCTGAAATACTATTCCAGTACTTTAAAGTTTACTAGAATATTTTTAATTTAAAAAAGTCCAAATATTTAAATGCTCTATTTTAAACCCGTGCATTTTGAGCTCCACTATCTCGGTTCTTGTAAGATATATAAAAACTTGTCAACTAATATAAAATTGGTACGTTTATGATAAATAATTTATCAGTTTACAACTTTTTGATATCTTTTAAAGTAACCGAGATAATTGAGCTCAAAGTATACGTAAAAATTGATTTCTGTTAGAGCTTTGTGGCGGAATTTATTTTTGTAAGGTAGTTTACATCTTTAATTAGTAAAATTGAATTAAACCCTTTTATCTATTAGGTTCTAATCTTTTTCAATTTAAGTGACAATGCCTGTTGTCATCAAAAATCTGTAAATGGAATTGAATTAAGTTTCTCAATTCGGTTAACTGACAAAAAAACTAGTTGGATCACGTTTTAGAAGTTTTTGTTACTTTGAACTTGATTAGATATTTTTGATTTTCCTCTTTTCTTTGATACGTCAAATTTTGAAGTCTTGCTCCAACAGTTGGGTTTCGGGTTGACGACATGACCTGCTTTTTGAGTTTTTCTGCTGCATCGTTTCGGATCAAAAGATTGGGGCCCGACAAAACCCCTCTTTCTCTCTCTGAACTCTCATGACTCTCACGAATCTTACAAAAACACATGTGGAAACGACCCACTTTTTAATTCAAAGCTCTCCTCCATTGCGATTCTCAAACATCTGTTTTTCAATGTATTTTTTATTGGTTTTGCAGCGCAAAATCTTTGCCGCCGTCTATCAAATGACAAAGGTGGGTTTGATGGAGCGCGAGAAACGTGAGATCAACGCCATTTGGTTCACATTCGTCGGCCTCAGTGCTCAGAACATTCGACACTTGGAGTTATGCAAAATCACTGATTTCAACGCATTGTTCGCCGTCACCAATCTCGAGGTTTGATCTTTTTTCTTTCTTCTTTTCTGCTCGAGATGTGTCCATTTTTCTTTTTCTCTCGTTGGAGGTCTACTATCATTTTGCTCTTCATCTTTACACACATCACAACATTTCCTGATTTTACACCAACTGGACACTTACACACACTCAACTCTTCCATACACACTCAAACACGTTGTGAGCTTGCTTCACATATCTATTTCCTTCTTTTCGCACATTTTTTTCTCCTGCTGATTAGGGTTCACAAGAATTTCTTTTTTTTTCTTCCTTACTTTCACTAGGTTTCCCATCAGTTTGGTGTGTTTGAGAGGGTACTCTTCACTCTCTCTTTTCCCTTCTTTTTCCATTCATCTTTTTCTGTCTCTTCCTATCTTTCCACCTTCTGCATTCTACTTTCCTCTCTCTTTCTTTGTCACTCTCTATGTCTCTTTTTTTCTCTGTGGCCATAGAACTGCGGCTCTTTTTTTCCTGAATTTTGTTTTGTGTTGCTTCTCATTTGTTTTTTCAGCCAAAATTGTAAAACTAAAAGCGAAAATTCCAAATATATATTTTTTTTCCAAGCTAGCTAAATAATTTATTCGTATTTTGCTTTGAAAGCGAGGGAAATTCAAAAATAATCATTGCGAGCCAATTTAATTATCAGCGCATTTCGTAATTGATGTTTTTCATCTTTTTTTTTTGTTTTTCGAAATGTGGTTTTGTGTTTTTTTTTGTGTCTGAAAAATGTGTTCACTAGTTTTTTTTGTAGGTTTTCCCGTTTTTGTGCATTCAAAATTGGCTTCTTGCCAGCTATACAATGCTTATTCAGCTTTTTTGCGCTAATATTGTATTCATCGAATGACGAAATGTAAAAACGAATCATTTGTAGTTAGATTTAGCAGAATTTCTCAAAATTTCAAATTTCTGGCAGTAAAATATGATGAAAAAACTTTTTTCTAGAAAAATGAGAGATTTAATAGCGGGATCTGCTAATTTTGTTCTTCAAACAAAGCATAGGTTATTTAAATGTACTAAATGTGGAAGGAAATATAATAACAAGTAATTTTAACCAATATTTAGCAGAAACCTCCAAAATTTCTAATTTCTAACAGTTTGTGTTGTTGCAAATGTCTTTTTTTCGAACAATATGGATTTGCAATGCCGGTAGTCTTCTAAAACGACGTTGAGGTTATTTAAGTGTACCAACATGAAAATCTGAAAACTAAACAAATGTCAAATTTAATCTTTTTTTCTGTTGCTTTTTTCATCGTTTTAAGGCGTGTGGTTAGCATAAACTAGTTTAATTTCCATGAAACTTAATAAAAGCTCGAAAGTACATTTTTTAAAATAAAATTTAACATGATATCAAATTGCTTCAAAGTGTTTCTTCACATACTTTAGTCTAAAAAATTATGCAAAACGTGTTCTGTTTTTCAAAAGTGAAATTTACAAAAAAAATTCAAACAGAAATTTCCTGAAATCATTTCGAGTTTCGTATTACCGAATTTCATAAGAATCAAGTACTCAACCGATTACGGCGAACTTTGTCAATATTTAATACTTTTTTTCAATTTTTTTTCTCCTACTTTACCCCACTAACCAACCCTCATTTTTATGTTCTCCTATCAGTTTTTCTTATCACTCGGTTCTCTTTTTCCCTCTCAACGTATGGGCCAATTGGTCACATTTGGACAGAGAACGGAAAGGCCTTGAGAAAAGACTATCCATCAAAATGTCCTTTTCGACAAGTGTCGAAATGAAGGACATAAGCAGAATTATGAAGTTTTACAAATCATCTCATTCATCAATCGCATGTCTTCTCAATCCTCATCATTTTGCTTCTGCCTCTTTTCCGCTTGGCTTGCAGTGAATGTAACTCCAGAAAAGGATCGAATCTCTTGTTTTTCGCAGTGGTATCCATTTTCTATCCTCTTCTAGTTCTCACCATCTTTTTTCGTTTTTTTTATTTCTCTTTTTTTACTCATGCTTCGTTTTGTCTTCTCTTTTCTCCGGAACGTCACTCGTGTTCCGTCAACACCTGTTACACTTCTACGACTTGTTTTCACAATCTGTCTGTCTGTCATCTCTTATTCTCTGTCACCTCTACATACTCAGCTACTATCTCTTTTTCCAGATGTTTTATCATGCTGGAATATTTTTTTTTGTTTCGTCAATTTGTGTAAAAGTGAAAATGACTTTTCTTTTCAGTTGCGATCACTTGCTGATCGCGGTCGCCTTGATGTGGAGACCAAACGTAAATTGTTGCAGTCCACAGTGATCTTGCAGAATCACTGGAACGGTGAGAACAGTTTCAAGTCAAGTAATTCAATCTGAGATTACAACTAAATCAGAACATGAAATTTGTGAAGAGAATATTTCCCTAGAACTTGTAACAGAATGACCTCCACACTGTGAAGTTTGAGCTGAAGTTTCTCGGTTCCTGTGGGAGACATAAAAAATGTGCCAACTGTAAAATGTTTTGTGTTTTTATGACAAATAGTTCAGCAGTCGACAATTTTATTGATATCTGTCACAAAAACTGAAATAAATCGGGTCAAATTTTGAATTCAGAGAGATCTTCTATTACAGGTTTTACAGTAATTTTGGTACGAATACTGCCTAATTTCAAGAAAATTCTCATTTGACCGAAAACATTACTTTTCCAGCACTTCATAGCAGAACATCAGCAGAAGATCCACCACCGGGACCATCCACTCCAGCAATAGTAACAACAAGTCCTCAGGGTTACAACCGGTCACTAACAGCTAACGGTTCCAAAATGATAACTCAATCAAACAGCATGAGCTTTGGTAAGTCTGTTACGAATTCATTCACATACCTTAAAACCTTCAATACATAGAAGGGCCCCAACACTATCCAGATCGGGCGAATTTTTTGGCCCTTTTGCTATATATCAAAAATGTATCAACTGACAAAACACTTCAGATACTTTTATAAACTGTTTGTCGGTTAACCCACCTTTTCACATCTTTGACAAGAACCGACAAAAATTGGCTTAAAAATAGAAGTGGCTCCTTTTAGATATCACAAGTTAAAAAAAATTTCTCAAGAAACAAAGTTTTTCTAACTAGTGTTAGTTAGTTATGCAAAAAAAAGTTTTGACGAGAGAGTTACACTTGACACGTGGTAGGATGTGGGAAAATAAGCAAGGTGAAATTAATAGCGTAGGGAACTTGAGAAGGAGAGCTAACCGAGTCTAGAATCAAAATTCAAGATGGTGTTTACTGAACAACATGTATCGAATTGTTCTGGGGAACATATTTCCGTAACTTTCGATCTCCTTTTTTTCTGGGAAAACTGTAATATTGGTGGACAGAAGATATGGGAATAATTAAAAGTGGTCTAAAAGATGTTGTGTATAAACGAAAGATTTGAAAACTACTTATGCTATTTTAAAACTGGGAATTCTGAACTTTTTTTTTGAAAAACAATAAGATTTTTCAAAAAATACGGAATATGTTTCAAAATTAGGAGCATTATATTTACCAACATCTTAGGACATTATGTCTCCTTTGTCAAATTCAATGCTACATCACAACAATAAACCCGGATGAATAGTTTTATTTACCTCAAGGAAACACTAGTTTTCGAGTTATCGGTAATTATTGAAATCAACTATTTGAAATTGAAACGACTACTAAAATACAAAGCTTTGTGAATGCAGAAATGTGAACAAAAAATCATGAAGTCATGAAAGTTAGTTTCGATGGGTTATTTTATAGCAACCGACATTTACAGAATTTCAATTCTGTTTTTGGTTTTTTTTTGCAGAAATCATGTCAAAAATACAACCCTATTCTCTTTCAAATCAACATTAAACTTCAATTAAACGGCATCACCGAAAATTTACCATGGTCACTACCATCGCAAACTAAATCTGGTGGTATTAGGGTAACTATCACTGCGATGAAAATATTCGAAAAATAATAAGTACAAGCAAAATAAGTCAAATTTTTATCTTAGTTATTGGAGATAATTGTTTTTGCAAAAAAAAAGTTGAAGTGGGACATATTAATGGTAACGTGCATATAGCTTAAATTATAATAAAAACCAAAATAAAATTGGCTTCTTGAAAAATTGAATTGAAACAGAGACACTTAAAATATTAAAAACCACTTGTGTTAAACATTAAGGTTTTGAATACCGGTTGAGAATTTGCTCAAAATTTGTACAGAGATACTTTCGCATATGCCGAAAACTGTTTTGGCAGAATTATAAGCCCGTTCCTAACAGAAATAAAAATTGGGGCTTTAGAGTGTAAGTTAGTTTTCTGGGTTTTCTTCAAACGCGAAACTCATTTTTCAATGATCTGATATTATTCTTCATCAACTTGGAAAAAACGACAACAGTTAAAGAAAAAAGACCGGGGGTCACTTACACTACAAAACGATTTTTCCAAAAAACCAGTTCGAAACATCCAGGCACGCCAAATTTTTAAAAGTGTGGTTATGGATAAGATGTTTACACATCCGAATTTTGTGAATATTGTTGAAAAATAACTGAACCTATAGAAATGGGTACAAATCTTGTATGTAAAGAATTTAATAGTACTCCACTTCAAAAATCTAAAATTGAGCAAGTTCCGAAGACGAAGATTCTTGTTTTTAATGATAGGATAATGTAAGAACTGTCATAAAAACTATTACTTAATTTTTCATCAAGTTCTCATAAAAATTTAAATTTCTTTGAAATCTTTTACTAAAGACTTCGTAAATTCATCACATCGGCAATAATAGAGTACCCATAGGGCCAAACTCGAAATCAAACATTTGTTTCGAACAAAAACCACAACACATATTCTCCACAGGTCCAGAAGGGGTGGAGAAAAGAGATGAAAAGTGCTTGCCGTAGCCGGCTAAATTTTTTTCAGAATGTGTTACAACCTTCTGGTGAGAACCGGTTACATTTTTTCTCTCATCTCGAAGAGAATTCTCAATGTATAAGTACCCCAATTTTTAGCAAACTCTCGACCAGTATCCTAAAAATGTTCGGAAGATAAAAACGTTTTAAAAAACGAATGTAATGTTAACGTTGGGGATAAAGTAGAATAAAATCAAAGAAGAGGTGTCTCACTATCAACTATCAAAAGCCGAAAAATGATGAAAACAAGTTCAAGTCTGGCGGATGAGAGGAAGTAGCTTTAGATAGTCACAAAATTGTTATAATGAACAAACTTAATGCAAAAAAAAGGGCACACCTTAAAGAATTGAAATACTTTCCACTTAAAAATACAATAATAGTATTCTCAAAATAACCATTCTATTTTTTAGCCGCGGCACCAAAGTCACCAAAAGCAGCACGACTGGTACATGCAATACCTCACAAATGGCATCGATCCACCAAATTTCGGTTTAGTGGCGATGCCGTTTGTCATTTCTGTCAACGACCGTTAGGATTTGGGTTTCTAAACGCTTGGGAAAAATGCAGGTCTTGCAAGTGAGTATTTTTTTTCTTAATTCAAATTTAAAATCAAAAATGAAAGCTCACCTCGAAAAAAATGTTGCAGATGGAAAGTGCACACCCAATGCAAGAGTCGCGTAGGTGACTCGTGTGGATTGACACCCGAACACTTGCGAGTTCTATTCGACAAGCTTGTCCAAGAGAATAATGGGGTGAGTGTTCAGCATGAAAAACAATTGGCTCTTCTCAGATGGTGTACACTCTCTGTTCTTTTTCTTCTTTTAGGGCATGTGGAAAGACCCTCAATCTGTGCCGGGCTCGCGGTCCATGAATGAGCCCGCCTTCCAGTTTCCTGACACGGCAATTGATTCCTCTTCCTCCACAAACAGCTCGGCCCCGTCGACACCAGCACTGCCTGCAGGAATAGCAAGTGAGTTTGGACAATAAAAAACATGGACGAACTGAGAGTATAAGGTATGGGAAAAGAAGAAAATAGGAAAAAACTCATAAAATTTTTGAAAACTGAACTCTTGAGCTCTTTCAAATCTATAAAAATTGCTAGTTCTAGAAATTGCACTTCTTTGCGAAAGCTATACTTCCCACAACCTTTTGCTCTGAACGTTTCAAACCTAAAATCATTTTTCCAGCTAGCGTCACCACGTCACTCACTGCTCCATATCGCTCGGAAAGAAAATTTCTGTTCCCGGACACAGAAAACTACCCGGCCCATAATCGGCTACCGATCTTGGTGATAAGCGAAGGAGATCATCCAACAACAACAGAAATTGAACAGGAAACAGAGAATCATTTGAAAACGGCCAGTATGATGGGAACAGTAGAGAGTGAGGGAACGATAGTAGCTGTTCAAGAAGAAGTTGTGGAACATCAAGAAATGGATCATGAGGAAGGACCGAGTCAAGAAGCGATAGACAAGTTTAATAAGAGAGCTGATGGTGGATTCATTTGGGAACGACATGCGTGGAATATGAGTACTATTCGGGGCCCAAATGCTCAAGTAAGTTAAAACATTTTGTTAAAAAACAAATGAGAAGGAGGCAGGGATGTTCGGAAAAGAATTCGGGATTCCGAAAACTCCGAAAACTCCGACTGTTTCCATAATAAGCGTTTTTTTCTGAAAACAAATTCTGATCAAAGACTTTTTTCGGGATTAGGGTTTTTGGACTACGGTATGTCAAGGGCGCACGCAAAAACTTTCCTTGCGGGCTCGAGGGCAGAATTATTTCTATTGAATGTTCCCGATTTTTAGAATCTTTCCGTCAATTTTTCCTCAAGTTTGTGATGGGAAGTTGAATTTTTAGTTTGAGATTTGAATCGGAAGTTCGAAAATTGCGGAATGGTCAAAGCCGAAATACTCCTAAATTCGAAAAATCAGAAATATCGAAATTTTTGACCATCCGAAAATTGCCGAAAAGGCCATTCAGAACATCCTTGGTAAAAATGAGGAAGAGGAAGTTTTTTGGAAAGATCGATCAATCTAAATATCAAAAAAATATTACAACGGAGTTCCCTCTATGTATCAAGCGGTCAAGAAACAAGAAAACAAGAAAAACTAGTTGCTTTGTACCAAAGGACCTGATTTTTTCTAGGAAATTCTTTTCTAGAAGGTCTAGCTCGAAAAACTTGCTCTCATTCTGTGCTTGTAGAGCGATGAAGAGAAAAAGAACCAATGCGGTCTCCTGGCCACGGCATCGATCCAGTGACACCGCTAAAAAACTCATTTTTCATTCGCCCCTCCTCTAGAGCCTGACACATTCTAACTTTTCATGTTATTTCTGCTCGATTCTTTTATAATTTTCCTACTTCAGTTATTTTTCTTCTACCAGACTACCCAACTCTAAGACTATCCTAGTAAGAATGACTGATGTTCAAAAAAGCTTCAAGCTTAAAAATGAGGTAAAAGGGAATGCGGGCATGAGCAAAGGCATAAGAAAAAATTTCCCGATAAGTAAGAAAATGGAAATTTGGGGATGCGCGAACCGAAACCCACAGAAAAGCGCAGCACGCCATAAAACACGGAAAATTTATGAGCTCACCGCTCGGTGCGGGCCCCGCCCGTCCGCCTCCGTTGCGAAGCCACCAGAGCAGCAGCGCCACCACACAAGCCTTTTTGTTCTTCTTCTTCTCCTCTCATGTGTGCCACAAGCTGTTAGGAAAGCACGATATATATCGGACGCCGGGCTCCCAATTCCTACTATTTTGATTTTTCAAAAAAAAATTTCTGGAATTGCAATTGTTGGATAATGCAGCCACCAGTAATTGAAATCTATGATTCATTTTTTGATAAAAAATTTTAATTTTCAGGCAAGTTGGAACGAAGTTTCTATTGCCTTCGACACAATCGAGTTTGACAAACAAAATCCGATAATTGGTCGCGGGCGGTTCGGAGAAGTTCAACGTGGATTTCATTATGGCGACGTGGCCGTCAAAATCTACAATATGGAACACATCTCGGACCACTCAAAGAGAGCGGAGGAGTTCAAATTGGAAGTTTCTGCGTACAAGGTAAGCTGGATTTTAAAGAAACTCTAGTGAAAAAACCTCAAAAACAGGTTTTTTGGTCTAAGACATCCACCGTATCAAAGAATATGTATTGTCCTCGGTGTTGTGTAGCTACAATTAGTTAATCCCATTCGAAGATCGTCTAGGAGAGATCACGAAGAAAAATTCTGCTTTTCGTTCTGTTTTTCCTCGGGGTGTACAACGCCCTCTTCTCAATACAAGTGTGCCTCTCGTTGATACAAGTGTGATCAGGCAGACTAAATCTAAGAGTCTAGCGATTTGTCAATTGGAGCTTGTCACGTTGGGCCGTCTTGGATGTCTAGTTTTTCAGAACACTCGTCACGACAACATTGCGTTATTCCTTGGATACTTCATGACGGACGGGAAGTACGGGATGGTTATGTCGTTGTCGCGCGGCAGTCAATCCTTATACACACTCATACATGTCATCCGAGAACCATTAGACTTGCCGACCACACGGATGATTGCAAGACAAATTTGTCAGGCTGTGTCCTACCTTCACACAAAGAAAATTCTTCACAAGGATCTGAGAAGCAAGAATATTCTTCTGGAGAGCAAGAATAAAGTGGTGATCACCGATTTCGGCATTCTTTCCATGAAGAGACTTGCCTATCCTAAAGGGTATTTTTTGAAATTGAACGAGAGCTCAGATAATGTATTTTTTTAATTTCAGAAAACTCGGATGGCACACCTCCAGATTCTGGGCCAACTACCTCGCTCCAGAATTGGCGATGGCTTTGAGGACAGAGTTTGATGAGCATGAGAGTGAAGATTTCCCATTCACAGAGGCTTCCGATGTCTATGCATTTGGGTTAGTAGAGAACTACAGTAATAGGAAAAACAAACAATTCAATATATTTTGACCATTTTCAGGAGTCTGGAGCTTGGCTGTCAAGTTTCCGATCGTTTTGAAAGTTTTGGAAGGTGTAAAATAGACCTCGATTAAAAGTTTTGCTGTCCCCAAATTTTTTGGAAAATTCTAGTTTTCCAGCTATTTGCAGATTTTTGAAAGACGTCATTTTTTGCCCGTTTTTGTATTGAAAACATTGAATAGCAGGCGTCGTTCAGGAGTGAAAAGCTGAAAAACTAGGAATTTTCAAAAAATGCTTTGAAAAGTTTTCAAGTGTTCAAATCCCTCCAAAATTTTTTAAGTGGTCGGAAACTTGATAGATGTGCTCCAGAATCCTGAAAATGATCGAAATCAACTGTAAAAGACGTTTTTGTATACCTGATTGACCGGTTCTATATGTAGGGTATTTTTCAACGTTAATGTTTCAGATGCGTCTGGTTTGAAATGCTCACTGGCCTTCTATCCTACGAAGGAGAGCTGCCTCATCAGATTCTGCTGAAGAAGAGTCAAGGAGTGAAGCCAGTTCTTCCCAATATTAAATGTGCTCAAGAGTTAAAGGTGTGTTTTGTAGGCAATAGTGTTCCCAAAAATGAGAAAAAAATCTACGAAAAAATCGCACGCTTTGCAAAAGTGCACAAAATTTAGCTGGTTGCTTTTTTTGGCGCGGGAACTTACTTGTTTCTTTTTTTCTCACTTTCACAGAAAAAGCTTCAAAAATAACTATTCAGGAACTCCTCATCTCGTGTTGGAGCACTGCGCCGCACGAACGACCCACCCTTCCCGATATCATTGCAAAACTGACAGCAGTACCCAAAAAGCAACGTGTCAATCGTAGTCCAAGTTTCCCGGTGATGATGAAAAGCTACGAGTCAAATTTCTGAATTTTTCCGTTCATGTGTTTTCCTTTGTACAGTGTATTCAACCAAAAAAAAAACCAAAAATTGATCATATAATTGGCATCCTTTTCAAAAACTATTCCATGACAAAAAGCTTGTTTCCATTCTATTGTGATACTATTCATTAATAATCTCAAAAACCCTTCCCAATTGCAAAACCGATTAACTCTTGCTTGTAACATAACTTCAGTTTCTAGCTTTCGGCAGCTATATTGTGTAATAGAATTTTCTCGTACTACAAATAAATAATTTACAAATATTCACTTTTTTGGAAACCAAGACGACAAAATTTTGGCGTGAAACCCGGATCTGCATAAGAAATACAGGGAGAAATATACATTCGAGTAGGTAATAAGGGATAGTGAAATTGCGGATTTATTTACGGCTCATGGTGAAGATGGCGACAAGTCCGGCCAATGCGAGTGCTCCACCTCCGAATATCGCCGCTCCGATGAGACCATCTGAAATTGTTATTTTTTATCAGTTTAGAAGATTTGAGGATTCTTACGAGAGCCCCAGTAATCGAGGTCATTTGAGTCAATGACCTTTTCGAAATATTCCAGTTTTAAATTTTTCGAAATGTCGAAATTTCAGAATCTCCCTTTCCCATCATAAATTGCGAAGAACTAGTTATGAATTACAGATTTTTAAAACCCAAACAATTTTAAGAATTTACATTAATTCCGCTCGAGACCCACAAAACAACTTTCCGCCTTTGAAATACCGTAGTTTACAAAACTCTGATTTCATTTGAAAAAATCAAAATATTACGGTCTGAATTTAACTCGGAACTGATCGGAATTTTCATAATTTTCGAAATTCTGACCCCAAAAACCCATTTTTAAAGTTTTCAACCACCTACCATGAGTCATTGCCGATTTGATAGTCTCTTTCAACCGTTTGGCTTGATCGTTTCCTTCCTCGATTTCCAGAAGAATATCAATGTATCCCAAAGCGGTGTCATACTGCTTCATACGAGCGTGCGCTACTCCCAAATAGTAAACGTAGTTGCGTTTGCTCGAAACGTCGTTGTCGTCGCGGAGAAGTTCTGAAATCAAAATACCGTTCAGGGTTAGAAGGAAATCGTTGATATATTGTAGCGCAACACAAAAGCCAGCTAATAATAGAACTCAGTTACTGTACCGGTCAATCAGATATCAAAACGGTTTTCCAGTTGATTTTGACCATTTTCAGGAGTCTGGAGCTCACCTGTCAAATTTCCGATCACTTTGAAAATTTTGGAGGATGTAAAACTGACTTAGAATAAAAACTTGACATTCAGAAAACTTTTTCAAATTTTTAATTTTTGAGCTATTTGCCAATTTAAGGACACCGGTGTTTTTCGTTTTCAGTACAGAACCAGGCTAAAATTGAGTGTTTTCCAGGAATTGGCGAAAAGCTGAAAAGCTAGAAAAATAAAAAAAAACTATGAATGCAAACTGTTCAATCTAGGTTTGTTGTGCACCCGCCAAAACCCTCCAAAAACTTTGAAGTCATCGGAAATTTGACATTCGAGCTACAGACTCCTGAAAATGATGAAAATCAACCGAAAAATCTGTTTTTGTATATCTTATTGATCAGTATTGTAGAGCAATACAAAAACTTGATTACAAGAATTAGTTATTGTTTTCATTTCTTATCAATTGTATTGATAGCCATAACGAGAACACGAGAAACCTGATTCTAATATAATGGGATGCCAACACTTCATTTCAAAAACTGTTAGCCAATTCGGCTATAGTTGGTTATTTTGGATTTTAAAGAAAATTTTGGATTTTAATAAAAATTTTGGATTTTAAAATTATTTTTGGATTTTGAAAAAAGTTTTGGATTTTAAAGAAAATTTTGGATTTTTAAAAAAATTTAGGATTTTCAAGATCTTGAAAAACATTTAAATCCAAAAATTTCGTGCGATGAAATTTTCATCATAAATTGTGGCCAATGTTCCTCCTGGCTGTACTTCGCTGTAATTAGCTTTTGAACAACTGGTTTGTCGTTGTTTTCAGACATTTTCAGAGTTTTCGAAATTTTGGATTTTGAAGATGCAAAATGGATTTTAAAGAGTGCAAAAATTTCAAGACTAGAGACAAGCTTGAAAGGGTCCCGAAGGTTAATATTTATTGCCGTCATCTTGTCGGGAACCCAGGATCAAAGGGTACATTAAAAAAGGGTACGTTGAGGGTACTCTAAGTTCTTAGGGTATATAGGTTCAGAGGGTAAATGGGATCTTGGGTGTAGGTCGTTTTAGCTTGAGCCTATGATTATGATGTAGAGCAAAAGCTAAATAGTCAGTAGGAAATTTTTTCTGCCCTCCCGCATGTACCACAAAATCCCATGTATGCTAGGAATCAATGTACTCTAAGAAGTAGATGTACTCTTTCCCGATGTACCCTTGGAAACTGTGCCGTTGGAAATATGGCATATACAGCCAAATGTTTTAAAGTTGATGTCAAATGCCAGTGTTCCAGTGGAAGGAAAACATCACGTTTCAGCCTAAGCCTTTAAACGAAAAAGCAGAAAATTCGATAAAAAATTTAGTGAAAAAAAATAGATTTTTATTGATTTGAATTTCAGTACTTCATTAACTGAATTTTTCAGAGTACTTTGTCTGATGTTTGAAATTATAGGCTTAGACTGAAAAGCTTAGTTATCTCTGTACTGAGGAATTCGAAAATGACACCAAATTCAAAAGAGTTGGAAGCTAAAAAACTATACCTTATTTAAAACCCAAATCAAATTTATTCTCAAGCAAACAAATAACAATCAATCTTTGACGGGCCAACGTCTGACGGTCGCCAACGTACGAAGGCGTTTTTATGTCTCAAATCGTCTCAAATCCCATAAAAAAGTATCCCTTCCTAGACATCATCTGTCGCTTTGCTTTCAAAATGGGTCAAATATATCACCACCACAAGAGACATTTTGTTGATGTGTTTTATTTCTTATTGTCCCCTCATTGCACTTTTCATTCATCCAAAACAGGTAGAGACGACGACAAAACACCTTCGTCTCGCTTCTCGAAAATCCACCCCGACCACACCAGTTCTACGTTACGCTTTTCATGAGAATAAGAAAAGAAATTAGCATTCTAATTCATTTCTTTCCTTCATACATTTTTTTGCGCTTTTTCCCTAAACCGCTGCTTCTTCTTCTTCTTCTTCTAATTCTTAATTTCCATCAACCCATACAAAAGGAAAGAAGCCGGCTAGTTTAAGGGCATCGAGCGGATTTTCCGCCTCAACAGGTGAAGGAGATGAGTCTGATTGGTGTGTGGGTTGTACTACTCACTCTCGAGACACAAAATTCCATCTTTCACGTCCAGTTTGTTCTTAGATCCGATCATTGCGTGTGCGTAGGAAAACGTCGATCCGGCACTTGGTTCTCCACGGGCGCACTGACGAAGATATTGCTCACGAGCGTTCTGAAATTATTGAATTTGAATCGAGTTTATTTTTCTCTATGAATTGTGTCGTGCTTTAAAGTTTTGCAGAATTGATTTTAAAAAATTTTTGGATTTTAGGGTTTTTCAAGTTCTCTAAAGTCCAAACTTTTTTTTAACCACAAATTTCTTTAAAATCCAAAATTTTTTTAACTCCAAAAATTTTTTTTAAATCTAAAAAATTTTTTAAAATCCAAAAATTTTCTAAAATCCAAAAATTTCTTTAAAATCCAAAACAACCAACTAGAGCCGAAAATTCATATTTTTTCAACATTACACTGAACTAATTTCTAAGAGGGCTGCGGCCGAAAATAGTTTTAAACATATAATCGGTGGAGCAGCGAAAATTATCTGGTTTTTTTCTAATTAATGCATGCGCCTTTGATACCGTACCTTGAAATTAATTTAGTTTTTGCCTTATTTCTGCAATTGTTGTGGAAATACAGCCAAATATAGGCCCGAATTGATTTACCGTAAAAACGCTAACTCTATTGTTCAGGGGTGGTCTAGCGTGGCATTGGATTAGGTGTGGCATTCAATTAGAGGCTGGCAATTTATTGTTCGGAGCCCATTTATATTGAAACTAATAACCAAAGAAGTATATTTTCAACTCGTTCATAAAATTACTTTCGAGGTTCTCGTGATTTTTCGATTTTCTACCGGAAACTGATTTTTTGTGTTATTCTTTAACTTTTCCCAAAGTGACTTCAAATCAGCAGTGGCATTATATTAGGGGCTGGTACTTTATTTTTCGGAGGTGCTCAAGGATGGCACTATATTAAAGGCTGGCATTCAATTAGGGGTGGCTATCTAATACAATTAGGGGTGGCTATCTAATGAGTTTGTACGGTAATTTGTGAGTTACGATATTAGAGGCGCATGCATTAATTTATTTGTTTCACACCCTCAAAATTTTTCAAATTGATTGAAAACTTGACAGCCGAGCTCCGGACTCTTGAAAATGATCAACTGGCACTGTAAGCTTTATCTGCCTTGAATGGATATATCCACTTTGATTTTCGATCACTTCCTGATTTTTTGTTAGCCTTCTAATCTATCACAGCTTTTTCTATTCCCTATCCTTACCGCCAAGACTGCTGGACTTGTCCGTTCCTCGAGGATACTTCCGTAATCCATTCTTTTGTGTTGTTCCTACAAAAATACGCATATCAAGTGCCTGTGTTATTATGTAAATGGAGAGAAAGCAAATGAAGAAGAAAAAAGAAAAAAAAAGAGAGGAACAGATTAGATTCCAATCGCGGGGGAAATAGCCATAAGGAAAACAATCGGATAAGTGTTTAGAGAAGAAGGAATAAGATGAAAAGAAGGGGATAAAGTTACAACTTTGTCTCTCGGGAGGAGAAAGCCATAATCGAATCATCAAGTATATGTATCCCCGTCGCGTCGCGCTTTTGTTTCGCGTCACTAATAAGTTGACCTGCAGATGAGATAAGGCCCATTTTGTCTCATTCGCGCCATAGATTGCTATGTCGGATATATCCTTAAGACTATCTGTTCGCATCTCTCCCATTACTTTTGTGTCTCGGCGCATCGTTCCCTTCTTTTTTCTTCCTCCTATCTTTGCTTTTGATTTCACTCATTTCCTTTTCAAAGACATTTCGCTTTTCATCCTCAAAAAATCCGATTGCTAATATTTTTACTCAGTTTGCAAACAAGAAAAATTGCACAACTCAAAAAACTGCTATTATCAGTATGGAGATATGACTTCAAGAATATCGCAAGCGACGGTTTTCTCATTCCTTATATACTCCCAATTTTCACAGGTGAGCTATCTTACAAGGATGTTTGAAGCGGAATTTGGAATCCTGAAAATTCCGATCGGAATATTTCCAAAAAAAAAAAATTTTCCTCGGAATTAGGGATTTTTGAACTACCGTAAGTCAAAGGCGCACGCGAAAATTTTGCTCGCGGCTCACGAGCGGAATTACTTTCACTATTTTGTGCGTTTTCGAAATTTTCATCAATTTTCCACCGATTTTGGATTCAGAGTTTCAAAAAAGAATTCCAGAGTTCCGAAATTATTGAAATCAGAATATTCCAAACTTACGGGATTTCGAAATTCGAAAAATCGGAAATTTCGAAACTCCGAAACATTGAAAATCGGAATATTCAAAATTCCGAATTTCCGAAACTTTAAAAATCAGAACTTTCCGAAATTCCGAAGTTTCAAAATGTTGAAATCGGAATTTGCGACATTCGGAAAAATTCCGATTAGGCCATTTCGAACATCAATTATTATACGAACATCAATTGTATTCACCTACGTGAATACAAAAAAACTAATTTCCAGGCGTTATCAAAAATTTCAATTGGACTTCGACCATATCAATATCAATATGTAAGATTCTTTCTTAAATTTTTCAGAAATTTTTTTTTTAAACCTACAAACTTTCAAAGTTTCAGGTAGACTCTGATTTCAATCAAAAGTATATCTATGAACCAGAGTCACTGCGACCAACGCCAATTCCAAAAGAAGAGATTTTAAAAGAAGAAGATATTCCTGCTTTCAAAACGCTGGATTTTCTAAATATGCCGTCAGAACTAGAAGGATCTGCAAGTGCGTTCCGAACAATGAATATAGAGAATACGGTAAGGATGCTATGAAAAACAAGGATTACTGTAAAACCTGTATAAGAAGGGACCCAACGATGTCAAATTTGAACTAGTACTTCACGGTTCCAGTGAAAGACATAAAAATGTGTCAACTGACAAAACACTTTTATTATAATGATGAACAATTTATCAGTTGACAATTTTCTATTTTTTACAGGAACCGAGATAAATTATTAGGGTTTTCCATAAATAATGTCGTTTTTTTTCGAGGGCAGTTTTCTCTGGCATGGCTCGTTCTAATGTCAAAATTTTTTCTGTTTCTGACACACCTAATCAAGTCGTCAAAAATCCCTACCTAACATGTGTTATAATGTTCTCAGTTATTCGAGGGGATATTATGGAAAAGGCATACCTTTTCGCTTCTTTTTTATACGAATCCATGTTTGGTCGAAATGCAACCGAGACAACCGGAAAAATTAACCATGCTTCCGCAGAAAGAAGTGCTAACAGAAAAACAGTACAACGATGGTTCACCAAATTCACATGTGGAGATGCATCCCTCGAAAAGAAAAGGGTGGTGTAAGGAATACTGAAGTATGGTGGAAGGGGTATCCGAGATCGATCGTCAGGGAACTTTTGGCAGTGCTTCGAGTCTCTACCGGAACAATATTGAGACATGAATAAGAAAAAGAGAAGACTAGAAAACTAGATAAACTGCTTTCTCATGAAGTGAACGATCGCAAGAAACTGCAACGTTACTCTAGTTTGTGAGATCATCTCATACGATAGAAAAATGATTATTTTTTGGATCGAATTGTGGCGTATAAGGAAAAATGGACTTTATACTACAACAAAATGCGATCAGCGCCATATTTCGTCGAAAGTCAGAAGGCGCAACATCTTACAAAGCCAGAAATTTACCAAAAAGAGGTTATGGTGACCGTTTGGTGTCTGGCTTTCGGTTGTATTCATTGTGACGTCCTGAAAATATGAAAAACTAACACTGCGGTTCACAATTCGCAAGAAATATATAAAATGTGTTATTCAAATTGCCAGCATTAAATTGGCACAACCTTACTCGTCAGCAACTCCATGTCACATGTTGCAATCATGGCGGCTCAAAAAATGGAATACTTTCGGTTACAAAATTATCAGTTAATCAACGTACTTGCCGACATCTCCTTTATTGCTCGCCATTTTTTCAAGCATCTTGAATGCCTCCCCAAAGAGAACGAGTTCACCAAAAACAACTATGCGAAAAGACTTTCCAATGTTTCGTCATTTCCTGAGCTTCTGATTTCTATCATGATAAAATTTTCAAATTAGTATGTTGTAGGCAAAAAAGTACTGATTCGAATGGTATTTATTTTGTTTGATGAACATGAGTTTCACTAAAGTTATCTTCGTTTAAAGAGTGGTACCAAAAAACGACATTATTTATGGAACACCCTAATAGTTCAAAGCTAAAAGTTAGAGGGCTCTTCTATTACAGGTTTAACGGTAGTTTTTTTCACTAAATTCTTTTCAGGCTACAATAATCCCAGCTGATGTGAAACCTATAGTGCCAAAGCCAAAAAAGAGAAAAACGAAGAGGAAACCAAAGCGAAAACCAAAGAAAATGCATCTCCGACGCGTATTCAAGACGAGTAAGTGCTCAATATTCTAGTGCTTTCTAGCATTTTCTGATTTCCTCATATTGCGAAATACGTCATGCTTTGTTTTGCAGGGTTGATAACTACCACACCTCGACCGATACTAATTGAAGAGAACAGAATAGATGAAGATGGCATAGAAACCACAACAAATGTGATAAATTTAGCGGTAAACAATTATTAGCAACTCTATGGCATAATCATATTTTCAGCCGATTTTTGACGCTGACACTGGCACTTCTTACACTCCAGCGGAGCTGGACAAGATATGCCAAGAGACAGTGCATGTTAGCAAAGGATTTGGCATTTCCGATATCGAAAGCTTTGCGAAAAATAATTGTTTCCTGATTCGTTTGTATTATCCGAGTGTTACGTGTTCTCAAATCAATCAACTAGTTGGATATTGTAGAGAGAATGGACTAATAAATGGTTAATAATTGTTTTCTTATCGATAATATGCAGAAAGAATTATAAAAAACAAGCAAAAATGAGTAAATCTTGAAAAAAACAAACAAAACAAACGGTCATCTCCGGCGTAAATCGACACACACAGCACGCACTATTTAAAGGCGCACGCAATTATTCGGGTGATCGCGGCGAGACCCGCGGTGAGAGAGAGACCCTCCCGCGTGGAGGGTGCAGAGACACTACACGTTGTACACATCCCGGGGGTCACTGCCCGTTGCCCTCAATACGGGAACGATCGATTTCCGCACACATTTGCACCCTTTTCCTTCTTTTTCTGTGCATATTGGTGTAGATCGTAAAGTTTATACTTTATTTTATCAATTTGATATACAATTTCTATGATTTTTTGTGATTTTTTATTTGAAAATCGCATTCAAAAACTGGCACGTCTGGATTTCCGCCTTTATTGCATATTTTTCTGTCAAAAACTAAAAAAAATGGTATTTTCAGTGGGTTCGATGAGTTTCTATTGGCAGCAAGGCCTGCAACAACAGCAGGACACTGGCCAAGCAGCAAACCAACAGTCACAACAGAGCCATTGGGACTTTATTAACCTCGGCGGAGCACCTGCGCCTCAGCATCAATGGAATTCGCAGGCGCAACAGCCACAGCAACAACATCAGCAGCCGCAGACTAACTACTACTATCAACAGACACCTCACCAACAACAACAACCTACTAATCATAATACTAACGGTGAGTCGCTGAAATATGGAAAAATCAGAGAATCGATAATCTAAATCAGCAAATTAAATCACAAAGAGCTTTCTGACGATAATTTGATAAAACAAAAGTGCAGTTGAGGACAAGAACATAATGTTGACACATGTCCATTTTCACTGTCAACGTCGCTCACCAAATGAACACATTTTGTTGTGTGATCACTGAGGAGAAAGGTCTAGAGAAAGCAGATAACTCTAGTTCAGCTTACTTATCAGAAACCTGGACGTAGAATGCAAAAAATCGGATTTCTTAAAGCAAATTTTGAGACATAATTGCGGACGAATTTGTAATTTGAGGCTTGATAAATTGAAAAGAATTCTATAAAGTTAGCAAATGGTCACCTCAGGCTAGCCGACTGTGTAGCTGAAAACGCTCCCAAAGCTTAGCCGGCAGCTTGTCGGGTACAAGGTTCTCTGCTTACCTTAGTTTTCACATCTTCTGAGTTGGCTTTTGAGATGAATGTTTCCCGCCCTAGTTATTGGATGGCAAAAACATCATTTCAGTTATGACACAACCCTCACTATTCATTTTTCAGTACCTCAACATCCAGCTCCAATACCACAACCTCAACAAACACAACAAATACAACATCAACCACAATTGCCAAAGAAAAAGGTAACCAATGACTCAATTAGAAATGCCCGGACACACCCAAACAGTTCTCTGTTTTCGAGACGTTTCCCGTTGTCCGAGCGTATCTGAATGGACTTTCAGTGCCACTCTGAAACCAATGACGGCTCAGAGTTCAAAAATTTTTATTCCAGACTCAACAAGTTGTGATCGAGCATACACCTCTCTTACCACCGGTTCAAAATCATGCCTCTCCTGCCGCTCCGAACTTCACCCCAGCGCCACCTGTACTGACGCCCGCATTTCATCAAGTGGACTCTCAACAGCAGCAGCAGTACTATCAACAACAAGTCCTTCAGCAAGTACATCAACAGCACCAGCAGTATGCCAACTCAACGCCAGGTGCAAATTGGGATCAAGGGTATTCTCAACAGCCCGCAGCTGTGCAGTCTACACCCCAATTCCAACCACCACCTGTGCCACAGCTTGGATCGGCGCCACCATCGATGGAAGTAACACCGGAGCCTCAACACAAACCAGCACCTGCTCCACAGATGGCTCCACCTCCAACTGCCAAACCGACACCGGTCCCCATACCTCCGGTACTGATCCCTCCGAGTGTTGTTCAGATGAATCCTGCTCCCGCAGCTCCTAAACCACCTGTAGTGAAAAAAGTGAGTGTCGGGATATTTCCCCATGGTGTTTGAAACTAAAATGTTCCCCCTGTGTTATGCTTTCAGATTTACATATGCATCCATTCCCTTATTTTCTTCAGTTTATTAGTTCATCCTATTTGCATGCTTCCCTTAGTAGTATCGTTTACTTGCATGGTCAAAATTTTTAGGAGGAGCATCTCGTAATCACTGCGCCTGTTACCGCTGAAGAGCCCAAGACCAAAGTCACACCGACATCTTCTGAAGACGATTGGGAGAAAGCGGACATGGAGATTCAACGCGTTGACGACGAGGTAAGACTGACTGATTTGAATATCGTACGTAATAGTTTCTGTGATAGTTATTAACGAATTCGCATGATTTTCGCTGTTCTCTATCCAGCTTGTAGTTCTAGTAACCCCGTAGTCGCTGTATGTTTTTAACCAACTTCAAACATAACATTTCTTTTCAGAACAAACGCCAAAAAACTGCCCAATCGGTAGAAAAGCCAGGAGAATCGAGAGAGTCTTCATCTCTAGGGGGGTCGTGGTCCCAACAAGGCTCACAACCTTCAGAAAGAAGTTCCGTGGAACCTGTGGAGATTGTGGAGCATCCAGTGGTAGAAGACGGTGAACAGAAAACTCCAAGAGTATCAATGTCGGATGTGAGCACATTCATCCCTACATAATCCCGGTCTCTGCTGGACTTTCGCGGGCCCTCTCATAGTTGTTTTCAGAACCAATTTTTTCGGACGAACTAAATCAGACATGATAGAAGTCGACGAGTACTACAAAGTTATACTAATTGAAAATCTGTATCTTGTCTATGAACAAAGTAACAGACCATAAAGTGACTTTACGCGGACGTGCCGAGCCGGGCCTGTTATTTTCATTTCGTTTCGTCTGTAACTTTGTTCATGGACAAAATACAGATTGTCAAATAGTATAACTTTGTAGTACTCGTTGAGTTCTATCACGTCTGATTCAGGTCGTCCGAAAAAATTGATTCTGGAAGAAGCTATGACAAGACATGCGAAGACTTGGCAAAAGCCCGGATGCCATGTTCGCATTCATTTATTTCAAACAATTTTTCTACATTTTTGTTTTCAGACTCATGAAGTACCGACAACCATTGTTCACACTGCAATGCCCGCTTTTGAGGATCGTGAAGAGACTCCAGAAGCTGGTCACCGCAACCAAAACTATTCGGTTACAATTGATTCTAGCAGCAGTCCATTGGAAGCGATTGCGACAAGCACGCCTAAAGACAAGCTGGAAAAGTAAGCTAATTAAAAAGTCAAAAGTGAGCTACAATTTTTTTTTCTCAGAAGATCATCAGTTTCGTCTCAAGGAACCATCGGTGCAGACAGAAATCGCTCGTCCAAAAACTCAAAAATGAGCGACAATCAACGCCACGACCAAGACAGTTACAAGAATGTCAACGATTTTGCTGAAAGAGAAGACGCTTCTGGAAACAATAGCGACAGCACAATGGCATCTGGAAGACCGGAGTTTGTGAGAGGAGAGGCTCGGGCAAGCTACCGCGAGTACAAGAAGACCTACAATGCCATTGTAGATCGTCTTAACTTTATGAGATCCAACACTACCCACTCTGACTATAGACCGTCTTCGAGGAATGCGAATCCACTTTTGGCTGCCGCCGGAATACGACAACATCCTGCTATTCGTCGTGAGTCCCTTGGAGGACGTAACGACGGAAGAGCTTCTGTTCCTCTGCATCATAGTCAGAGCTTCAACGAGAATATGTATCACGAGAATGGCGGTAGAAGGAGCCGAGTGAGTCGATTGGATCCAAATGGCCGTCCATCGTCTCGACATGGTCCAGGATACGCGTCGGTGAACCATATGGATCCCCGTAACCACTATGATCAGCGAGCATACATGCAACAACAATATCGTCATGGACGTCATAGTGCAATGGCTGGAGCTCAGGTCTCTCGAAGACCACCATCCATAAATGGAAGTGAGCAGTACGGATACGGACATCCTGGAGTGGGATACGGTCAGGAACCACAAGAGACTTCTAGCATCTCTGAAAGCGAGGAGGACGACGAGAACGGAGAGAGCGATGACGAAGTCCGTGGATACAACATGCAACAGCATAGAGCTCATCGTGGACAACAATTCTTACCTCAACAGTCCTCTGAAGACGACGGACAAACCCTCTACTATTGTGGAGTTGTTCACGTCAACATGGAATCTTGGCGTCGTATTATAGAAAAGCATGGAGTCCCTCCAGAGTTCTATAACCTGAATCCAATTGAAAAGGCTGCGTTTATGTTTTACACTGTGGTTTTCAAACAACCATATAAGAACGTGGATGCTTTCCACAACAGATTCAATCGGGAGTTTTACAAGTACATGTGTGCAAACCTTTCTAACGATGACGCATTGTACAAGGTACCCAGTTTCATATAAGATAATTTTAAAACAGTATAAATTCCAGATTTGCCATTCAATGCAACAACAATACCTGGAAAGACAAAAACAGAAAGTGCAGGCTTATGAGTCTATGAAAGCGACCATGTTCAGTGATGAAACCAGTATTGATGGGTGAGTAGTGAATAAACAGACCAGAAAAAAAGCGATTTGTCTATTCCAATATCACCAGCTTAAATTGATTCAGTGATAAACTCAATTATCTACCAACCCATCCCACTGGAGACCTGCCGAAAAGTATCATAATCAAAAGGTTGAATATATCTCGGGTCTTTGTTGTTATCTATTTCTTGACCTCTGGATTTATTTTGTTTCGGCTATCTCAACCTTCAATGTCTTTTAATATTGGGTACTTTGTGGTTGTTCAGTTTAATACTATATACTTTTTTACTCTTCCCATGTAGCTCTCTCCTATCCCAGTTTGTATTTATTGGGGTTTTTTTAGGTTTGACAAATCTCAAACCACTAAATTTCATCTTTTCAGACAAAGTGAGATCAACAGCGTTTACGAAGAGTCTCTCAGCAACTATGACGTCCACAACAATGGTCCCCTCAAATTCACATGCCCACACAGTTTCTTGCACATTTCCAATGGAGGACAAATGATCTCGATTCAACCAGATCAATCGATTTCAGCTGTTATCTTTGACGACATTGGCTCGGCTATGAAGGATATTGCCACGTTGCAAATCAAAGATGCCGCACAGCAGTTCAAAGGACCACTGGTGCCAAATCAATCTGCCCCACACACTGTCCGATTGTACATCACCAAGCAAATTGAGAACATCAGAGCTTCCGCTGTTGCGATAGAGAACCCGGAGGCGTATGATGTGGTGGAGTCTGTGTTGGTATGGCAGCTGTTGGAGATGATGGTCAAGCAACAAGGAGTAAGTGAGAGATTCAGTGAGAAATAGCCAGATGGTGGATAGGTGTAGATTACATGAGATATACCTGCGCCTTATTTGAGAAGAGGATAAAAAAGTTTTTTTTTCTTGTCGCTTACAGTTCGCTGTCGACATACAGTACCGGTCAAAAATAAATACGAAAAAGTTTTGTTCCGTTGATTTCCAGCCTTTTTTGCTATGCTTAGGAATCTTGCGTTTGGCTGTCAGTCGAGCTCCAGACTCATGATAATGTCAAAAGTCCACTGGAAAATGCGTTTTGTACATCTAGGGTAATGTATCTGCAAAAGCTCAACTTTTGTATTTCAAGCAGTATTTAGATAAAATACTAATTGTACTATCAAACACTGAAAAAATATTTTTTTTTTCAGAACATCACAGGTCCCGACATTGCTGAACTCCTTGCCAAAGTTGCCAGACAGCCTGTTAATGTTCAAGCTCCTCCACAATTATCCAACATCACACCGGCGCTCAATCAATTCACACAGTTTCTGCTCGGAGGTCATATCGATGAAGCAGTAGAAAGTGCTCTCCGTAATGGGCTCTTCGCTGATGCACTTGTTTTGACCCGTCGTCTGTTTCCAAATGATGAGCGCAAAATTGAAGCGATTGAAAGCCGATTCCTCCAGACAAGGTCGATGGACAATCCAGTTACAACCCTGGTATCAGTTGCAAAGGGAGAGGTGCCACCGGTTTTGGTGAGTGAATTGGTTTCAGATAGCAGGTGGTCAATCATATACATATGCTGTCAATGTTCTTAATTGTATAAAATGAGCTCATTCCAATCATTTCAGATCAACCCACCACTCGACGATCATCGTTGGAGTTGGAGAACTCATGCCGCCATTATCCTTGCCAACTTGGATCAACGTGGAACCGCTCTCAGCACAATTCACCAGCTGGGACGTGCTCTCGCCAAACGTGAATACGACAGCGCCGCCGACTTTTGCTTCCTTGTGTGTGGAGTGCTCGGAGGAGACAAGGAGAATCCATTCACCCCAGTTCCAACACCGTACGATGATTACCTTTTTAACTTTGGTACAATATTCTTGATTTCAGAGAAGGTGAAGAAGAATACCGTCGGTACATTTCATTGGTCAACTCGGATATACCAGATAATGAAGCCAATCCAAAGTGTCAATATGGATTTGCACTTACCCATCTTCACGCCACTGAGATATTTGACTACGCTATGAGACTGAAGCCTGATCGCGAATCCCTCTTGGCGACATCGGTCGAATATCAAACGGCACGTATCAAGTACGCCAAGTTGCTTGCTAGTCATGGATTTGTCACTGACGCCTACAGGTAAAAAGAAAGTACTAATAATCTAGACTATAATGTTTTTCAGGTATTGTACCGAGATTGCTCGTGCTATCTGGTTCCACGTGACAACCTTCAATCCTGAAGATTTGTTGGAGTTGTGTGATTTGGCTGATTCTCTTCTTCATAGAGCAGATGTCAATCCAAATGAAACTCAATGGATTTACGATTTGAGATCATCCATCGAGACTGGGTTCGTGCCACAAACAGTGAAGCAAGAAAGCAAACATTCGTCTCAAGACTATTCCAGAAACCAGCCAGAGACAATATATGAGCAGCCAGTGGAACCGTTAGTCATTTGAATAATGAGCTCTTTGAATGTTTCCATTCTTCAGGTCACTTCCTACTCCTATCCCTGTGCCTGAGCTAGAGTTCATTCCCTCGGCATTCACTGCTCCAATCCAGCAAAAGCCTACGGAGCATATTCAACCAGCAGAACACCACGAGGAAGTTCCATCCACGCCAGCCGGATCTATTTACCAGGAACAATATTCTACACAAGCTGAAACCCCCTTCTCCTTCCAAGCTACAATGGAACAGTTCAATCCAGCCGACGGCTTTACCACTCCACCGGATGATGGATTTAGTGACGGACCATTGACAATGGCATCTTCTCCACCAGTGCCGGAAATGACACCCGAACAGTCATGGTCTAGTGTCGCTGATCCAGTAAATGCTCAAAACCACATCCCACAACAGAGTCAACAACAACCTGAGCCAGATTTAAAGACGGAGCAAGAAGGCAGCAATCAGAGTCAAGGGTGGTTTAAGTCAATCCAAACCAAGGTTCAAAAGGCCACGGGGAAAAACCCCATGAACCTTCCAGAGGACACAAACCCAACAATCGTTTGGGATCCGGCTCAAAACAAGTATGTCGGCGCTGGAGTGGAATCGGAACCTGTTGCAGCACCACCACCAACAGTTGCCGCTGTACCAACCGCACCAGTTGCAGGAGGTGGATTGAGAGCTGCTAGAGGAGGTAAGGAAGATCATCTAAAAATTAAATTTCATATAATAATTGAATAATTATTCAGCATCGCGATATGCCAAGGCTGGACTCGCCAGTTCTTCGTCACAGCCACCAGCAGGAATGATGGCACCGGCTCCTCCAACAGCTAGTTTCGGTTTTATGCCAGCTCCTGTCGACGATGACGGTGATGCTGTTGATCCATTTAGTGGACAAGCCAACCCGACGATACAGCAATACGTTCAAAAACCGTCGAATGATTGAGTCACCTACCTGACTCGTTTTTCAAAAGTTTCTTCCCGTTGTGATTTTGCTATCAGCGTGTTGTGTTATTCTCAAATTTTTTCTCTTGTCATTATCAAAACTTTGAATCTGACCATTACTACTACTGGGATGGGTTTATATTGATTATATTGTTTATTGTAAGTTTTCCTTATTTGTTAATGGGTTTATAGTTTTTTTCCATTTTAAGCGACAATTTGTTATAATTTTAAAAATGTTTTTTTGACTTTTGGTGGAGGTATTCAAAGTGTATATTGCTATCTAAGTCCCCATTTTTGTTGTAAAATGTTTCACTTTTTTCCTAAGAATTTGAACAACACGGTTTTTTGCGGTATAGAAAAATAGAAAATAAATAATTTATTCTGTAGGTTCCACGCCATGTTTTTTTTCAATTTTGTGTTTAACTGTTGTTATTAATTTCACCATTACTCTATCTAATCCACTATTTTCTTATTTTTCTTATTTTCACTTTCACTTCTATTTGTTCTCTAACCTTGGGTTTCAGATGTCATCGTCTTCGGACCATTTTCCGGGTGCACCCTTCAATACGGATCCGATTACAACAATGGCAGCATCAATGGCAGATGTGGTCACGTCGCCTAGCGGGGCTTCGACCGCACCACCACCGCTGAATCTTCCATTGATTCAAGATGACGTGTTGCCGGTACAGATTCCAAATCGGGAGCCAGCAGCGGAAGCAGATCCCCAGCCTCCAGCGTCTCAAGAACAACAGGCAGCATCAGTAGCGTCGAATGCGCCAGCGACAGATGCACCAGAAGAAGGAGACGCTGATGCATCAACATCCGGATCGACGAGTACCACTACAACAACAACAACTACAACGACATCTTCAACATCATCTACAACCACTACTACCACCACAACCACAACTACCACAGCAACTGGGAGAGTCACACCAGTCGTATCTCATGAAGCCATGTTCCATGAAGCTATAAAAAGATGCAATAACTGTGAGTTTGAGTTTCCAAGAAAGGTTTATCACGAGGTTCGTGGAATTTTCAGGTCTATTTCTCATCAGAAAACTTCGAAACAAACAAGATAACATCTCGGACATCTTACTGGGAAGTCAAATTGATCGAGATTATTTTGAGAGTGCTCACAGCGACTATAAGGATATGTCGACCTTGATGTCAGAAGTCATGGGAATTTATGAGTAAGTTTGACTCAATTTTCATCTCAGGATGTATAATTTTGTTTCAGGAAACTGGAGAAAATCACAAAAATGCTCCCAGAGGTTACTCCACCAACTGACAGTATTTCTTTGATGCGCACACTATACATGCAGGAGCATACCATGGGCCATACGGATATCAATTCATTGCTTGATCAGATGATTGATTCAGGAAACTGGAACGAAGGACAGTTTGTGAGTTGCAAAGTAATTGTTCTAATTTTCATACAATGATTCTTTCAGCAAATATTCTTCTTCCTCTCGGAACTTCTACGCGTCGCGACACCAAAAATCATCAAAGCCGTTACAACACCAAGATCCGCGGATACTCCTCCTCTACCAGTTCCAGTGCTCCACATAGCAGCCTCCAAGAATCATGAAAATTTTTCGAAGGCCTTTGTTGATTTGAAGGAAGATATTATCAACAAATCGCTTGGAATTTATCCAAAGATGCTGTATAAGACGGCGACTAGTTCAGTTGTGGAGGTGAGTGGCGCTGCGTCGCGGTTTATCGAGAAAATTTGACTGTGACCAGGGTACCTCAACACCTTGTAAACCCAGATTTTTATCAAGTTTCCTGGTTAGTTTGATAATAAGCTTTTTAGATACCTCAGGAAATTTTAGAATCCATTCGCCAGTTTCAGCCGAGTTGTATCAGTTTCAGTTCCAAAAATCGCATTTTCAGTGCACAACACCGATTTTCAAACACAATTTTCTCAACTTCTATGAGGTTCCCGAGCATGAATCCTGCTCTGTTTTGTACTTGAAAGAGAATGAAAATTCATATTTTAGACATTTTCGTTGAAAAAATAAGATCTTTTAATTCGCAATTTCCCACGATTTTCCCCATTCATTCGAAATTCGAAAAAAAAAGGTTTTTTAGAAAATGTTTGAAATATGAAATTTCATTCAATTTTGAATGAAACACCAAAAATTCGTACTCTGGGACCGCCAAGAAGGTAAGAACATCGTATTCGACAATCGCTGTTCTGCACCGGCAATTTTTGGTACTGAAACTGATATAACTCGGCTGAAACTGGCGAGTGGATTCTAAAATTTTGAGTGACGTCTAAATCGCATGTTGCTAACCTGTCCTGTAATTTTCATCAAAATCTGGGTTTACGAGATGTTCAGGTTCCCTTGTAAGGTGTGAAATGGTTTGAAAACATACATGTCGACGGACCAGGGAAGCATACCAGACGATGGAACTTCGCAAGCATTACAAGCTCCTATGAGAATCAACCAGTATAAATCAGTAACCGGGTGCCGGCTGACATTTATTAGCCGGGCAGGGCTTAAGTCCGCCCGGACCATTATACCGCTTTCGAAGCCGGTTCATTTTTCTTAAAGGTTATAGACTTCTACGAGATTTATAATTTCGTACGTTGTTATGCTTACAAGTTCAATTTTAAAGCTAATTATCAGTCGGCCCGTGCCGGCCCGTCGACAAATATGTTTAAAAACAGTTGATTAAATGAACTATATTTCACACATAAAACAGAATAAAACACAGAAAACAATTTTACAATTTTTTGCAGTTCCAATTCGGATGTGCAGGATCAAATGGTTCCGACGAGAATGAGATTGTTCACAGAATGAAATTCCTTCTTGTTGAGCGAAACGGATCTATCTCCCACATCAATGTGATTGCTCCAACCGAGGAATGGAAATATTTGAATAACTTCGGCACCCCAGTAGTACGTTTTTCGTTTAATAGAAGCTTCAGCTAATTTACCGAACTAGTTTCTGATTTTCAAAATTTCAGATCAATCCATTTGCTCCATCGTGCTTCGAAGTCCACCGTCGGCTCACCAAACAGGCTAATTACCATCTCCTCAACCACGTTGTTAGCCATGCTGGCCGCTGGACATCGCCTTCTCTTCTCCTTTTCGTCTCTACTTTCGGGAAGTTGGGAGAAGTCTTCACCGCCAGATGCAGAATTTGCAAGTGAGTAATTGGTTCTTTTTCAATCGAACCTTAAATTTCTTTGCAGAAGACACCTCAAAAACTTTCTTCCACCACTCATCTTCGACATCCGCTCTCCCGGAAACGCTACACATGAGGCGTGCAAAGAAAAGAACCCTGTTCAACTTATTTAAACTACTCACTTTTCCTGTGTCATATATTTATTTACTGTAAAAGACCCGTGCCGTACTAGCTAGTATCATTATTATTATTGTCTATTGTTGGTTATTTATCTGGTTTCATTCATGTGTATTACAATGTCTTTCGCCATCTAAGTTGTATTGTCGTAATCTTGACCATATCATCAATCTCAATCATATTTGATCTCGATTCTCTTTATGGTATCTTTTCGAACAATCACGCTTAATCACGTTTGTAACTAGGGTTTGTTGTAATATCTCAACATTTTCTAGTCGTGTGAATTTTTTTTGTCAATTTGACATAAAGCATCTTCCCCGAATTTTGTTTATGGTGTTATTCAGTGAGAATTTCAGCAAATTTCTTTTTTTTTTCCTTATGCAGAAAGCAGAAAAACCAGCAATTTTGCTGCGGCCGCGCTAGCGAAAATGCTGGAGTTTTCTAGGTCATGTGAACTCGTCCTCCTCCTCGTGGAGTACACGACAAGAAAAATTC